TGTGTGTTTTTGTGTATGGCATGTGTGTGTTTGCCATGTGTATATGTACATGACTCCTGGGGCAAGAAAAGATTCATAAGTCACAATGTTCAAAATTACAGTGCAACTCACCATATAAAGTGGTTGGATGTAAACTTGGGTATTTTGGAGGACATCTGAGTGTTTTTAACTACGTTGTGATATCTGGAGTCTTCTTTCCAGGTACTTTCAACCCGGTCTACAAGCTGTGGCTGTGGAGGACATTGCGCATAGGGCAGGACATAGTACAATGTTATATATAGTATTCCACAATGCCTAGAGGATGTTTATGAGGAATGGAAGGGAGGATAGGAAGCAGAGGGGTACCAGCAAAGGTGGAGGAAGAATAAACTGTGGTTGGTATGTACAATAAATGCAAAATTTTGATTTTAATGAAAATATAAGCATAAAAATGATAAATACTTGACTGATATCTCACACTTATAACTAGCTAGCTCTTAGAACTTAAACTAAGCCAATTCTATTATCTTATGCCTTGCCCAGTGGCTCATGGCTTTACCTGTCCATCAGCATGTCTTACTCCCTCTGAGTTGCCTGGTGACTCACAGACTCTGCCCTTTTTCCCAATGTCCTTAGTTTGGTTCTCCAGCCTATATTTCCTGACTGGCTACCAATCAATCAGCTTTCCATTAAATCAATCTGAGTGACAAATCCTCACATTGTACAAAAGTATTATTCCACAGCATTATAATACATTATATGTAATATTAGATATGCTATATACATTAACAACAATACTTTTTGGTATTTACCCAATATCCACTTCTTAACCATTATCAAACAACACTGGTATTTTCCCCCCTATTACTCTGGTATAGCATGTCTTATTTCATCACTAATTAGAAATTACCTTTTTCAGTTTTCACACTCCCCGCTTCAATCCTATTCAGCTATTCCCTTTAGCCTCTTCTGGACTTACCAATAGAATACTATTCATCTACAAAAAAATCTTATATTAGAACATGTTTTGGTCGATAGAATCAACTAGAAAACAAGTGTGCTAACACAGACTCAGAATAAAAAATCATTCTTCTTTTCTCTCATTGAGTTTCCTAACTCCAAATCGTCACATGTAAGACGACAATCTGGAGTAATCACAGAACCCACATCTTGCCTTCCTAATAAAAACATAATGGAAAGTAAATCTTTTGCACAGGAATGGGCCAATAATAAAATTCTCAAAAATTGAATGAGTCCTTCAAGCAGTTCATTTCTAAAAATGTTGAAAGGATTTGCAGAAAGTATTTAATTTATTTCTGATATAAGATTCAAGTAGACCAAAACAGTCAGTTAAAACAAAAACAGCTTTTTCATAGTTTTGCAATAAAAACTTCTTTTGATTACATTTGGTTCTCTTTAAAGAGTGGGTAATTATCTGAGTTTTTCTTTCTGTATCTGTGACACATCACAATTAGTAAAGCATCTCTGAAAGGGAAGTATTGTATTGGGATTGGAGATGCAGAGGGTTGGAGTGGGTGGTGGAGGAGCAAAGCCATGGCGGCAGCAACAACTGGGAGCTCACATGAAAATCTACAATCAAGAAGCAGAGAGAATACACTGGGAGAATATACTAGAAGTCTCAGAACTTACTTAGAATCACAGATATTTACCAACAGCCCAAAGCTCTTAATCATCCTCACACATATTTACCGATGAGAACAGTTTCAAAAAGCCTAAGGGCCATTTTCAAGTGAACCACTACTGCAATTCATTTGAAAGCCATTGCACTAGCCAGAATTAAAGAAGGAATAGAAAAAGAATGACAGGGATTTTTGGACCTATAGTAAATATTAGGAGTTAAATTACAGATTTATACATTTCATAATCTCTTTTGTTCCACGTTAAAATTTTGTATTTGTTAATTGTATTTCCACCTCTATGAATATGTTATTTACCCATTTTCATCTCTCTCTCTCTCTCTCTCTCTCTGTGTGTGCATGTGCGCAAGTGTGTATGTGTGTGCGTGCGTGTGCTCATTAGGAAGTGTACATATGATCGTTAGAAGACAGATTCAGAAAATGATACACTATTTCCACCACATACTATTCAGGGAGGGAATGCACAAAATCACATTTACTGGGAAGAATCATTACTAGCAGATATAAAACACAGACATTCTGGAACATACTACCAAAACAGACATTTTTAAGTTTTAATCATTCTAAACACTTTGAATATTTTCCCACATTTATTTTAAACATAAAGGTTCTCGCAAGTAAAAAGTTATTGAGTATAGTAGGAACTGTGGATGCTAAAAGATTTTCCACATGGTCATATATGTAAAGTCTGTCTCCAGAGTGAATTCTTTAGAACATCACAGCAACAGGAACTGCTGAGGCTTTGAACAATACTTAAATGGATATATGCTTTAGAATTCTTTCCAGTGTACATCTGTGCATGAGGGTTACAGAATCTGGATGTGCTGAAGACTTTCCCACATTACAGACACTGTGTGAGATCTTAATGCTTGTTAAAATCACAAGAACAAAGAAATAGTTTATATTCAATGTTTACATACAAAAGGTTTCTATCTAGTGTGAATGTTTTTACTCTTGGACCAAGTGAATCTAGTAAAGGCTTTCTGACAATGGTTACAGGCATTAGGCTACTGACTAGTGTGAAGAGGTTCATGTCTGTTATGATCACAAGAGCAGCTGAAGGCTTTTCCACAGTTCTTATGTGCATATGGCTTTACTTTAAAGTGAACTATTTTATGCCTGTTAAGATTAAGAGAATGAACAGTTTCCCCATCTTTTACACACGAAGGGTTTTTCCTCTAGTGTGATTTTTTTCCATGCAAATCAGGACAAGTTAAAATGTTGAAAGGTTTCCTGTAATGCTTACATGGAAAAGCCATCTCTCCAATTTGAACACTTTCAAGGATGTTCAGCTGACTGGAGCGGGTAAATGCTTTTCCACAATGCGAACATGCACAGCACTTCTCTTCAGTATGATCTCTTTCATGAACCTTTCATGAATAGAAATTGGTGAAGGGTTTTACATAATGCTTACATGAATCAGGTTTCTCTAAAGTGTGTAACTTCATTCATAATTGTTTTGATTACTGAGGTCACTGAAGACTTTTCCAAGATGTTTACATGCTCAAGACTTTTCTCCTGTGTCAATCTTTTCATGAATGTTCAAGTAAACTTTTTCACAATGATCAAATGTATAATTAATTTAATGTGAACTTTTTCTTTTTCTTTGTTTTTGGTTTTTTGAGACAGAGTTTCTTTGTAGCTTTGGAGCCTGTCCTAGAGCAGGCTGGCCTCGAACTTACAGAGATCCGCCTGCCTCTGGCCTCAAACTCATAGAGATCTGCCTGCCTCTGTCTCCCAAGTGCTGGGATTAAAGGCGTGAGCCACCACTGCCCGGTAATTTAATGTGAACTCTTTCATTGAGTCTTTCAGGAACTGAAATTGGTGAAGCCTTTTCTACAATGCCTAAATGAATAAGGTGTCTCTGCCGTGTGATTCCTTCCACATCTGTTACGACTACTGAGGTTGTTAAATGATTTTTCACAATGCTTACTTACATAAGGGTTTTTCCAATGTGAACAATTTTATAGATATTCACATGACTATGCCAGAAAAATGTTTTTTCACAATGCTTGCATGTACAAGTCTTCTGCTTCTCTCTAGTGTGGCTCCTTTCATGTCTGTTACACCTACTGGAATTGTTGAAGGTTTTCAACAATATCATGCATAAGGTTTCTCTGCAGTGTGGTTCCTTTCATGTCTGTTCCGATTACTGGGGTGCTTGAAGGCTTTTCCACAATGCTTACATGCATAAGGTTTTTTTCCAGTGTGAGTTATTTCATGGATATTCAGATGCCTGGGATAGAAAAAGGCTTTTCCACAATGCTTGCATTTGTAATTCCTCTCTGCCGTGTGCACTCTTTCATGAATGCTACAAGCACTGGAATTGGTGAAGGCTTTTCCACAATGCTTACATGCATAAGTTTTTTCTCTAGTGTGAATTCTTTCATGAATGTTTTGATAAGAAGAATGAGTGAAGTTTTTTCCACAATGCTTACATGCATAAGGTTTCTCTGCAGTGTGGCTGCTTTCATGTCTGTTACAACTACTGGGGTGGTTGAAGGCTTTTCCACAATGCCTACATGCATAAGGCTTTTTTCCAGTGTGAATTATATCATGGAAATTCAGATTACTGGAACAAAAAAAGGTTTCTCCACAATGCTTACATATATAATGTTTCTCGGCAGTGTTGTTCCTCTCATGTCTGTTATGACTACTGCGGTTGTTGAAAGTTTTTTCACAGTGCTTACAGGCATAAGGTTTCTCTCCAGTGTGAATTCTTTCATGAATGTTTCGATGTGAAGAACTGGGGAAGTTCTTTCCACAATGCTTGCAGGCATAAGGCTTTTGTGCAATGTAACTGCTTTCATGACTGTCATGATGACTGAATGGGGTGAAGGTTTTTCCAAAATGTATAGAAGCATATGGCTTCTCTCCTTCGCGAGTTACTTTTTGTTTCTCAAAACATGTTGCATATTTAATTGCTTTGCTACGTTGTTTACAAATGTACCTTTTCTCTCCAATATGACTTTTTTCATGGTTGGTAAGCTCAGTGGAATCAACGAAGGATTCTTCACAGAGATTACATACAAATTGTTTCACTTCTTTATGGGTTCGTTTACCATTCTGGTCTTGTGTGTATCTCATTAAGACATCATCTTTGGGTTTATCTACAGTATGAGTTCTCTCCTGAGGCTGATCAAAATAGAGACTCCTACAGGCTTCCTTACATTGTTGAATTTTACAGGGTTTTTCTTTAGGAGAAATTTCAAGTACCTGAAGAGATTCAGAATAACTGATATCTTTCAAATGTTTCTGATCTATGAAAGCTTCTGTCACAGTTCCCTTATACAGGAGTGGTTTCCCTCTAGCTTTTTCTCTGAGATACCCATGTAAGGATAAATGACCAATAATGTTTCTTACATGCAATGGAGTCTCATGAGTTCTTACTCTGGAAGGCGTGTCTTTATTGATTATAATCTCAGGAATAGGTTGCTGGTTTTTATCGCACTCAGTATGACATTCATATCCACGATCTTTCTCAATCCTCTGAATTCTGCAAAATAAGTAAGTAAGTAAGTAAATAAATAAATAAATACATAAATAAGAAAAGCAATAATGAAACCCAGAAGAAACATTGGAGGCTGGCTTGTGTAGAACACAATACTATCTCAGAGGGAATAGACAAATGGTATCAATGTCAACGACAATATGCATTGCATGGAAAGACCCTGCCATGTGTGAAAGTAGAGAACTGACATTATTTCTCAAAGAATTAAAAGGCTTGGAGGTTAAGAACAATTCTCAATTTTTAAGCAAACCAGATTTAATGACAAGGATTTATGTGAAGACTTCACAAATTCTGATACACTTGATATGAAGGATTTCTTGCATTTTCTGCCTTACACAAATGTTTTTGTCAAAGGTATTGTAGAAAAACATAATTCAGACACGAAGAGATATAAAATAATTAAGAGTTATAAAAGAAGGGAACAGGAAGGAAAAAGTCCTGGTGTTTGTAGACAAAATAACAGGCACATGAAGTGGTGAAACACTGTGGCATGTCAGCATTCTAAATACTCAGCCAGTGTGGGTTAGTTAGTTATCAACTATACACACCTATGGTCATAGGAGAATAGGGTCCCTTAATTGAAAAACGACTCAATCAGATTGGCCTGGATACAACATCTGTATGAGCATTTTCACATTCCTGATTAAGGAGGGTTAACTATGTTTGATAGTATGCCCATGGACAGGAGATCAGGGTCTGTGTATGAAATGTATGTGCTAGTTAGTTTTGATGTACTTGACACAAACTAAAACCCATATTTGGGAAGAAGGAACTAGACAGCAGAAAATGGCTTTATCAGATTGACATTTAGACATGTCTCTGGTAGCTTTGTCTTGATCACTGTATGAGGTGGAATGGCCTAGTTCACTATGGGTGGTATCCCCCTAGAGATGTGGGTCAAGGTTGAGTAAGGCAGGTAGCTGATTTAGGGATGAAGAACACTCCAGTAAACAGAATTTCTCCTTCACTTCTGCTTCAGTGCCTGCTTCCCGATTCCTGTCATGCTGCAGTTCCTGACTTGGCTTCCCTTTGTGATGGGACTGTGACAAGGAAGTATAAAATTGTCCTCTACCACAGAGTTGGTTTTTCCTTTTTTCTTTTTCTTTTTTTAATCACAGCAAAAGAAAGCAAACAAAGCACACTACTGATGCCCAAAGCCTCATAAGTATGAACAGAAAGTAAAACCTTTTCATATAACGGAATGTTTTGTGTAATAATCCAATGGAAACCCCTTTTCTGGGCTCAGTCTCATGTGACATATTTGTGATAGTAGTACATTACACACATGAAATACACAAATATTGAATGTCACAGTTCAATGCTCCATTAAAGGAATTTGTGTAGACTCATTTTTCACTTAGGTTATTTGGAGCATTTGGCAGGTTCTCAGTTGTCCCTTGAATCTCAAATGTATAATATAAATTCTTTTCTACTGAATATAAATTACCCCATATTCCTGTTGAGATCGTTAGAGTCCTCTTCAATATATTCTTCTAGTGCTTTTTCTAGAATAAAACCCAGAGAATACATTATAACACATTCATATTCAACAGAAAAATTATTGCAACCTAGTTCTTATGATATGGGTACACACACTAAATTCACCACATTTTCACTTCAGGAAGTCAGTACCAACATAACACACATAAGCAGGATATGTTGAACTGATCAAGCCACTAGTGTGTCCCGGCCACCCAGAACCAAAATAATTACACAGAAACTGTATTAATTAAATGACTGCTTGGCCCATTGGCTCTAGCTTCTTATTGGCTAACTCTTACATCTTAATTAAACACATTTCTATTAATCTGTATTTCACAATGAGGTCGTGGCCTACCACCAAAGATTTAGCACATCTATCTCTGGCAGAGGATCCATGGCGTCCCCCTGACTCTACCCTTTTTCTCCCAGCATTCAGTTCTGTCCTCACTGTCTAGCTATGGAATGCCCTATCAACAGACCAAGGGCCTTTATTTATTAATGGTACTCACAGCACACAGGGGACTCCCACATCAAGGACACAGTTGTTCAATGACCGAATAAGCAATGGGAGCATGTAATACTTTTTACCTATGGAGATCAGGTTCTAAAATGTTTCCTTCATCACATCTCTGTAGAGCTTCTTTTGACTAGAATCCAACACAGCCCACTCTTCTGAGGTGAAGTTCACTGCCACATCCTCAAAGTTTACTGGCTCCTATGAGTACACATATTTAGTAGGATGGTTAATTTTCACTGACAGCACAACAGGATACATAATTATCTTGTATAAATGTTTCTCACAAAACTTCTAAATTATTATATAAATTGATTTACTGAAGAATATCCATGGGATGTTATCTTGATTACTTGATGACCCACTGTCTCATTTACTATTTATTAGTGTGTCATTTACTGGCAGCTTCACACTTCTTAATTTTAAAAATGAGACTCTTCAATTGTGATATGAAATAAACTGTTTGTGCCTTAAGTCACTTTTCTCAGAATAATCTGTGACAGCCGGAGGAAAAGCCTGATATACGGTATAGCAAGGTGGAAATCCCAGCAGAGATAGAGGATGGAAGAGGTGGAGTCAAGATGATGCCATGAAGCTGCTGAAGGAGAAAGATGCCAAAACTTTCCCAGTAACCCACACCTTCATGGCGACCCATAGATTAATAGAAATGGGCTAACTGAACATGTAGCGTTAGCTATTAAGAAGGCTGAGCTAATAGGCCAAAGAGCACGTAATTAATATTAAGCCTCAGAGTGGTTATTTCATAAGCAGCTGTGGGCGCTAGTGAGCAGGAAGCAGCGGGTGGAGAGAAACCAGAGCAATGGAGAAGATCTGTAACAACGTAATGGTGCCCAATGTTTGGAAACATACAACTACGTAAAGTGTAAGAATGAGTTAAAAAAGGGCTCCTGGACCCACAAAAACAGGAATCAATTGGAGCTCTTTGGTAGCCATATTTTTTCAGATAGTGTCTGTTTGCTGGTGGCTAAGAGAGACACTGCTGCTTTAATACATGGCATCCTGGATCATGCTGGTGTCAGAAATGGCTCTGACTCTTTCGAGAGGTCCGGGTGTGGAGCACTTATGGGGTCTGTGAACTGCATGCAACAAGCTGCTTGCTGGAGCTTCGGTGGTGAACACGGTTTGCAGAGCTAGTGGCAAATGTGCCTCCACCATATTGAAAGGCTGAGAGAGGCGGAGTCAGAATCCACGGCTTCAGCAACCATATTCCTTACCATGTAAAAAAACCAAACCAAACAAAACAAAACACTCCTTCTCTGAACAGGATTTCAGAGACACAATAGGACAAACTCAGACATAACAGACATCTAAACGAGACACAGTGTGTTTCAAACATGTGCACAGCCTTCAGTGAGAGAGCACAGAAAGAGTATAGACAGGTATAAAAAAGAAACAGTTTTAAAAAATAAAACAAAGGCTTTAAAGAGTCAGTAAAAATAGTATAAAAGAAACAATTCAATTAAATTGGAAAATACACAAAGACTCTGACCGTGCATATCATTGGGTTTTTTTGAATTTTTTTTTTCTGCAGAGACATTTGATTCTAGGGACTGATAAACAAAACCATGATACATATGTTTAAGTTATCTTGACTTCAAAATTTGAGCTTAAGGATATGTTACTTTGGGGTTTTTTTTTGAAATTAGCACAATTATTTTTTCTAAGGCAAAACTGGAGATGATATAAAAATTCCAATTATTGACATACTGCAACCTTACTATATACAGATCACTTTCTGCTCCATATTCTTCCAGATATCCCCACCTCAATCTGAGCCTTTCCAGTAAGAGCTTGTGTCTCTGATTTAACATAGCAACTGTTTTCCTCAGGAATCAGTTCCCATGTTTCCATTAGTTTTTCAGCACAGGATTATTATTGTCTTAATTGGGAACTAGGTGAAAGAAACTCGGTACAACCCAAGACCTGGCTCATATCCAATCATCCATTTTCAGCACCAAGTGCATTCCTAGCAGTTCTTGTTTGGCAGACCCCGCCCTCCAGGGACAGCACCACAGAAAGTGTGCAAGACAATGGAATTCAGTCAAGTATTAGAAACATAGCGCCAGAAGGAGATGAAAGGCTTCCAGCCACATTTGATCACCTCCACACTAGACAGGAAGTGGGTTTCCAACAGCAATGTACAAAGTAAACACATACACCAAAACAACCTAGTGCCCCAAGGCATATATTCCACCAATATTGAAGAAAAAGCCATCGAAGCCTTCACTGTTGCCTACAATCTTTATTGAAGTTATAAAAAAAGAATCCCCAAAAGTAAAAAAAAATACATGATGTACAAAACCGCTTTCCCTTGGGAGAAAGGCTCTGTTCCCTTACGATGCAGTGCCTGCAACTGTAGCTGCAGACACCACTGTCCCTTCTGCTGTTGCTGGGCTTTTAGCCTGATTCTCAGCCTCAGCCTCCATGTTTTCTGAAACTTCGGGTCCACTGGGGACAGCATCCCCACTGCCTCTGTTCAGCTCTGGCTCCTGCTTGGCTTTCTTTGCATTATCTTTCCGGGGGCTCTCTTCTGGTTTCCTCTTCTTTCTGACAAGATGGGAGATATCAGTCACACAATTTGACGAGGAAGCACCATCTGTTGGTTTTCTAATGGCAATCATGGAGACTGAGGCGCCTGCTCCACTAACAGTGAAACCGGAAGAGGAGTTCTCGACCAGAGTAGCTTTCAAGGCCAGTTCAGCTACGTTCCCACTGCGTTGAGACTCCTTTGCATCTCCTACCTTTTCTCTAATTTCACGTAGCCGTTCTTTCAGCTCCTCAGTTTCTTTCTCATATTCAGTAAATGATCCTTCAGCCTCCTTCATCTGCTCATTTAGCACGGCCATTCTCTTCTCAATGACTTCAACAGATTTGCCATACTGTGCCACTGCCTCATCGTACTGAGAGTTGTAACCGTTGGCCAAAGCCAACTGGTAGTGAGTCTCTGCAAGGAAACGGTCATCGGCTTCCAAATATTGTTCTTGGAGGCTTAAGCAAGCCTTGAACTCCTCCACAGCTTGGATATCATTCTCAGATTCAACACTAACATCTCCAAGTCTAAGATGGGCTTGTGCAGCATAAAGCTGGGCTTCTTTTGCTTCTTGCCTTTGAAAAATGATCTTTGCTAAATCCAGCATATCCCAGGCAAGGGCAAGGTTCCCAATCTCCTCCTCTTCGTTTTCTTGAAGAGACTTGTTTTCAAAAACTGATTCATTTGTGTTTCCTTCAGCCTTGTCATTTTCTTTGTCTTCTTCCTCCGAGCCTTCAGTTTCTTCACCCTCTTGCATCTGTTTGACTCTCTCTTGTGTCTCTTCATTAGCAGCTATCTTAAATTTTTCTTCAGGTGCTTTTTCTGTGGCCTTCTGGGCGACCTTGGTCTCAACCTCATCTCCAGCTGCCTCAGACTCTTGCACAGGTAGCACAGCTTCCTCCTGCTCAGAACCAGCTCTGCCTTGACCTCCTCTACACCGGAACCATCTTTAGTCTCTGTCAGTCTTTCTGCAGAAGTCTGTGATTCACTAGGAGTCTGAATTCTTACAGCTGATGGTCCATTAACTGAACCATTGTTCAAAAGAACAGTAATCTCCCGCCCTGGCTTCTCAGAGACATCTGACCCAGCCTCTGCAGCCACCACTGGTGACACTTCATCTTGCCCTGACAGTTGCTCAGGAACAGCCTTTCCGAGTTCACTCTCAGAGGAAGCTACCTGATCCTTTGGTTCCTCCCTGCCCATGTCACCGACTTGACTGCGGCATCTACTGTTTCAGTTTCTCCCTCCATGGCAGTGTCCTGCTTTTCTGGAGCCCATTAGGCTGAGCTTCTAAAGTTTCTTTTGCCTTTTTTTTACGCTCATTATTTCCCCTCCCTCCTTCTCCTGAGGCACTATTTCTCTACATTCTTTATTTTGAACATACGCTCCAGAAATTGATTTTCCTTCCTCAGCACACAATGATGCCTGTTCTGTCTTCCCAGAAGTGACCTCAGCTTCATTCTGTCCTGGTATTGTTGCTTCTTCTGCCTCTACAGAGGATTCAGTTAACTGCTTTGAAGTCGATTCAACTTGTCCCTCTAGCTTCTCTGCCGGCTCACTTACATTCATATCTTCTCTTCCACCCTTCTCCACTTGACTTTACTCTTCTGTATCAGTTTCAGGCGTTAATAGAGACTTGCCTTCTGCTTTTTTTGGCTTCTTTTTCTCCCATATATTGGAAAGGATATTCACTTTTTTTGTGACATATGATAGTTTCAGTAATATAACAGGATCTAAATTCAACATTCAATAATCAATAATATTTATCTACTCCAATCAATAATGGGACTAAACAGAAAAATCAGGTACAAAATCCCATTAAGAGGAACGTGAAAAGAATAACTTAGAAATAAATGGGAAAAACAGGGTAAAAGACAGTGACAATGAAACCTAAAATGGTAAAAAAAAAATTAATACTCATGTCCATGAATAATACTGTACAAAAAGATATTCCATTTGATAGAGTGTCTTGGCTATACTCACAGTATTCCTATGAGATTACAGTCTGCCTTGTTCAACCATTCAAGAAGAGAAATGTCTGCTGAGACACCCTGTCTCCCTTTGGCAAATAATTTCAGGAAGGACCAACTACAAACCAATACATAGCCCAGTAAGCTGCATAAACTTCCTCATTCCCAAGCCCCTTCAAGGGTCATATAAAGGGTCCCAGGAAGCTTGTTCCTGTTGCACAGCTGAAAAATTCACTGACACCTGCTGTCTGTGTTAATGTGTGGTCTGTTGAAGTCAGACACCGCATTCTTCCCAGCATGTTGTGTACTCATTCTGTAACCTGAAATCTGACATTGGAAATAGTACGTTTTTTTCTTCAAGGAAGCTCATTCATGCAATCCCTTCTACTTAGAGAAGCAGCCTAAGGTAAACCAAACAACAAGCCAGTTCCAAGGCCATGATTCCCTTCACAGGGATCAACCTGGACAAGTCTGAAACAGCTTTCAAAAAAAAAAAATCCAAATTTAAAGTTCTCTTTCTCTGTGACTAAAAATTTTACGCAGTCTTATAGAGGGAACAATTGAGTCCTATATCATCATGATCTCAACAACACACAGACACAGACACACACACACACACACACACACACACACACACTTAATGAGGAGTTTAGAATTGGGGTATGAAGCCTAAACAAGTCATTTGTTTATCTTTTCCAAGTGTGGCTTGGTGTTCATGGGCCATATTAAGAAAAATATAAAATCACAAAGGTGATGACCAGAAAAATCTAAAGCAGCATGGATATACCTGTAAGAGACATCAGCAAGACATGACTCCACCCAGGTTCCTTCGCACCACAGATTGGATTCAGTGCCACCAACCTGACTGGGCTGCAAGTTCTGGAGACGTACAGGCTCCAGGTGCCTTTCCCTAGCAAGAAGAATGTGATGTGAGACAAAGTAGTTTGCCTGTAATAGAAAGGCAGGAGGTCTTGGGCTAGCTGCCTGCTTTGCATGCAATTCCAGTGCTGTAGGAAGGATGGATCTAGTGCAGGACACAAGTCAAAGCACACACTGCACATCATCACGGGATCATCAAGGCCGCAATGACACAGCCTCAACACTGTAATAAATGAGCAACCCTCGTCATGAGGAGACCAGGGAAACTTCACCATTCCTCGTATATCAAGGTAGCCTCCTAAGGGCCTAAAGTCAGTAGAAGGGAATGGCATAGAGGACCAAAATCACAAGCCTCAGAAGGTAAATACAATTCAAAGATGGTGGCAATAGTGAGGCTTCCTGAAGGAAGAACCCAAGAATAAGAATATACAATTGTAGATTCCAGAAATAAGAATGTAGAAATAAAGAAATATAAAGTTGTAAGCCTAAAAGAATGAAAGCAGACTATCAGCAGTTTTTTCAGCAGCTAGAGGATTAACTCTTAACAGTGGGTTACTCCACTTTACAACCCATAACTCTCTTTGCAAGCCTGAAGTGGTCCCCTGCAAACTTAGGGTTGCTCTGAAAACTGAGGATCAACTTTTAGATAACCCTCTTGGCCACCCATGACCAGAAATTGGTGGGAGCTGAACTAAGTTTTAAAGGATGGGATATACATGACCTTTGACTTTTTGGTCTTATGCTGTCCCCTACCCTTCCCTGCTATGCAAAACTGGCATACCTTGGTAAACACTATTAATAAATGCCAGGGAAAAACAATGGACTAAACACAAACACTATTTTAACTGAGCAATGGAAATTGCAAAGAAGGGCAATTTAAATCTGAATTTTACCTTGAGATTGTAAAAAGTTATTGCCTATTCTTGCTATAGAAGGAGAAGTTCGAAAAATAGCCTTTGCCACTGCCTTACCAATGCATCTCTGACTGTGGTCGCAGCTAGTTGATAAGTTTTTGGCACCCCATGGAGATTTATTTTTTAAATTTCTTATTGTTTCCTAGGATAAAGTTTGCTTCCAGTTCACCAGACTATGGTGGACTGTCCCCATCTTTGCAGGACCCTGTGAACCCAACGCTGAATATTCATGCAACTCAGTGGACATTTGATGAAGGGAAGTAACAACATTCCTGGTTGATAAAAGAGACATAAGGACTGGATATTGTGACTCAGGATGTTAAGGCCAAATTCAGTAAGTGGATAGAAGGAATCCCTAGGTCTGTCTAAACATAGAAATGAAATGGAGGGCCTGTTTTGTAAACACGAGAGTTTGTCTTCAGAGTTTATCTTGGGACATCAATTGAGAAAATGATTCCATTAGATTGGCTTGTAGGTAATTTTAAAGGGAAGCTACCTTGATTAATGAGTTACATGGGAGGGCCTAGCTTACTGTGATTGTTGCCTTTGCTGGGTAAGTGAGCCTGAGTTGAATTAAAAAGGTAGCAAGCAAGCCAGTAAGTACTGCTCCTTCATGGTTTCTGCTTAAAGGTACCTGTGCAGCTTAAGCTTCTGGCCTGGCTTCTCTTGATAGACATTGACACAAAGTGTAAGCCAAAATAAACTCTTTCCTGCCCAAGTTGCTTTTGGTCATGATATTTATCACAGGCCTAGACAATAAACTAAAGGAGAAATTGGGACCCGATCCATGGGGTATTGCTGTTACAGACCTGACCATACTGTTTTTGGTAGGGCCATGATAGTGGCCCTTTCAACTTTCAACTGGAAAACTTTCAACTGGAAAAGCCAGAGAGTGCTCAAAGTTGAACGATCGGTTTTGGCAGATTTGGAAAGTAAGAATGGCAAGAGCAATGGAAAAAGGAAAGCTTGGTCTTGTCAAGTTTCTGAAGGACGTCTGAGAGTGACCTGGCTGCAACTTATGTCATACCCTTGATCACCATGGCTGATGTGGATGGCGAAGGAGTGTCCCCTTCCACCCTCACAGCTCCAAGTGAATCGATCCCTCTTGCAGCTGTGTGTTTTGTAAAGGAGGAGAACCTGCCCTGAGTAGAGGAACGGCAGCTGTGATTCCACTCTAGAACAGTCAAGCAAACTCTCAAAGGGGCGCTTAAGAGTACCCTGGAGACTCGATCGGAGTGGGTCATGCAATAGTTTAGATTAACAATCTGTGCTTTCTGGTTAGCTGGGGTAAAGAATCAGCTATGATAACAAGCATTGAGGCTACATCTTCAGAGATTTCGGTCAGCACAAATACCACAGGGGCCCAAGGCTGCACTTCAAACTGTAAGCAAACCATGGCAATGTGTAAGATTCTGTCAGGCGGTATTGACATTAGCAGCATGAGAAGCACAGGAATGAAGGGGTCATGGAGAGAAGCTGAGACAGGGTTTAGTGAAAGGCCAGGCTCTCCTGTCACTGCAGAAGGTGACAGTGGAAACACCAAGAACGAAGGGTTTATTGAGAACAGATGAGATTGTGCACCAAATGTCAAGGCTGGAGCTCCTGGTGAGAAATCAGAAAGTGAAAGGGAAGCTGCGACCTGTGTGGATCCTAGCAGATGAGAGATGCCAACACCATGGATGACTGCCAAGGACAGAAGCTGTTGCGGACTTGAGGTACTCTGAGTCTAGGAGTCAAGTGATGTGTGTTGTTGATAGCGAACAGAAAAGTTGTGTTCTCTAAGCCCTTTGGAGACTAGACTATCATGACCAGATGAAGGACACTGAGCTACAGAATGTGATTAACATTGTTGAATTTGGAGTTTCCTTTGAGCTAATGGTATCTGTGCTCCGCTTCTTTCCTTTTGAAATAAGAAGTGCCTATCGTGTAGTTGACTTTACAGGAGCCACAGAGGAGACATTTTGGATTTAAGAGACACTAAATATTTAAAGTGTATAAATTTTTTTAAGACTGTGGGATTCCTACAGTTATGCTCTGATTTATATTGTGATAATAACATGAGATCATGGGGACAAACAGGAAAGGAAAAGTTATGGTATAATAGTGGTGAATCTGAATGTCAAGATCACAAAGAGTCAATTGTGCTGTCAGGGTTTTGTCCACTTGACACAAGCCACAGTCATCTGAGAAGAGGGAGCCTCAATTGGGAAACTGGTTCCATCAGATTTGCCTGTTGGCAATCTAGGGGTAATTTCTTGATTAATAATTGATGTCTGAGGACCCAGTCTGCTGTGGGCACCACCCACTATTATCATATGGGACTGAGTTCTATAAGAAATGAAGCTGAGGATGTGTTGAGGAACAACCCAGTAAGCAGTGTTCTTCTATAAATGCCTGATTCTGTCCTAGAGTTTATCTCAGCAATAAAAAGAAATTAAAAATAGCTCATCTGAGGCTAATGAGGTAACTCAGAAGTTTAGAGGACTGAGGCTTTTCCAGAGAGACCATGATTGATTCCCAGCACCACATGGTGGCTCACAACTGTCTGTAACTGCAACCCCAGGGGATGGGGATCTTATACCCTCTTTTTCTTTTTCTTTCTTTCTTTCTTTTTAAAAATATCCAACTAAAAGGATTTATTTTAGCAATCTGAGACTGCACTCAGATATTTGGGACCTAAGTGGTGTAGGAGGTTCTTCTGTTTGTGTGCTGCTTTCATTGGCTGAATAAATAGACTGCCTTGGCCTTTTGACAGGGCAGTCCTTAGGTAGGCGGAGTAGACAAAACAGAATGCTGGGAAGAAGGGAAGTGTGGCAGACACCATGAATCTCTTGCCTGAGATGGACGTAGGTTAGAAGATGCCGGTAAGCACAGTCACGTGGTGATTCACAGATTTAATAAAAATGGGTTAATCAAGACGTAAGAGTGGGCCAAAAAGAGGCTAAATATAATGGGCCAGGCAGTAATTTAATTAATGCCGCCATGGAGCCAGTCAACAGGTCAGACATGCTGAATCTTTCCTGGTAAGCCATGACATCATGGTGAAATATAGATTATTAGAAATGGGTTAAATCAAGATGTAAGAATTAGCCAATAAGAGGCTAGAGCTAATGGCCAGGCAGTGATTTAAATGAAAACAGTTTCAGTGTGATATTTTGGGTGTAAACTAGCCGGGTGGCCAGGACCAAAAGCAGACCTTCTACTACACATGTACTACATAAATGTGGAACACAGACATACATGCAAACAAAACATGCATAAAAAATGAATAAATCTAAAAACTAAGATAACAACAACAAATATCCCTTACATATAAAGCCTTTAGAAAACATCATAAAAATACATCAAATACTTCTGAGTATGAGGAAGTTTTTATGTAACGAATTACTGAAAAGTCTCTTACATCGTTAAATGATGCAGCATATTCTGGTGACATTCAGAAATTACAGAGATGGGATATTAAAATTCTGAATGATCATATACAATTGCAGTTTTATAAACATCTATGCTAGAATTAATTTATACGGAGATATATTTGGATAATATACTAGGTTCTCAGGTGTCTTATCATCCCCAAATGTTTGATGTAAATTCCTCTCTTATGAGTATAAGTTACCCCAGATTTCTCCTGAGACTCTGGTAGTCCTCTTCAATATTTTCTCCATGTGTTTTTTCTAGAAGTAAACCCAAAGAAATCATGACTTAGGCAATATTATAAAAATTTATTACATTCTAAATTTTATGATGTGACCATAAATTCACTCCATGTTCCCTTTTGATATTCCAAACCAGAAAACACTATACACATGAGCAGGAAACAGTTGCCTGAATGAATAAGTTAAGGAATCATATTATGTTTTACCTATGAAGATCAGGTTCATAGTTTTCCTTCACAACATCTCTGTAGAGCTTCCTTTGGCTAGAATCCAATAAAGTCCACTCGCCTGAGGTGAAGTTCACAGCCACATCCTCAAAGGTTACAGGGTCCTAAAACAGTGCACATATTAGGATGGGTGGGTTTTACCTGACAGGTTGACAGGATGCAGAGCCATCTAGAACATGTGCTTCGCAAGACACTTCTAAGTGGTTATGCAGATAAAGGTTAACATGACGAATTATAGGGATTACATGAGTTAATGTGAGAAAAACCACTCACGGTGCATGGAAGCAGTCTCTGACTGGTATGCAGGATTATAATAGAGGAAGAATGAACTGAACATCTGGCCACTCATTCTTGATTGTGGTTATGTTCAGAAGTTTCTATATCTTGGTCCTGCAGTGTTAAGTCCCAAAGAAACACACAGAGGCTTATATTAAATATAAACTGTATGGTCTATTAACTCAGGCTTATTTTTACCTAGCTCTTACAACTCAAATTAACCATAATTCTTGTCTATGTTAAGCCATGTGACTTGGTACCTTCTCTCAGTGAGGCATTCTCATCTTACTTCCTCTGTGCCTGGATGGTGACTGGCTTTCTGCCTTACCTCCTCCCAGAATTCTCTTAGTCTGGTGGCCCCAACTACACTTCCTGCCTGGATACTGGCCAATCAGCATTTTATTAAACCAAATGAGTGACAAATCTTTACAGTATACAAAAGCATTATCCCACAAGATGATTTGACCATCTGTTTCACACTCTTGCTTTAAGATTTCTATCATGATTTACTGAAACCTTCAACCATGATAAGAAATAAACTTTTTCTGCCTTAAGTCATTTTTGTCAGCTAGTTTATCACAGATATAGGAAAAGCCTAATACAAGAAGAGACATAAAGAAGTCGGGCCATTGTTGAAAAAGCAAATCTGAGTGGATCATTTTGGTAGATGCTAAATATACAAAAATGTGAAAGAAATGCTTACAGAAGAGGCACAGATCAGGAAGGCTCAGAGTAGAACAAGGATTTAGTTTTGAACTAAGATGGGGGCCATGACTTTGCTATTTTGTTCAAGAACTTAGTTTCATTCTGCCTTGGGACCAGGAACGTAAAGGAACTTATGTTTAAAAACAATGAAGTACTTCAGTAAGTGAAAAGAGTATGAGCAAGCTTAAAATTTTTAAGACATGAGGTGATGAGAAAGCAGCTATAATTCATATGAAATTAATTCTAGGCCCTGGGAGAATAGTGAGACAGAACAAGAGAAACAACCTGAGACTTTACTTGGGTTTTGCACCCAAAACCCTGTGAGTATTCTTTGAACAACCATCTGTACGTAACCTTGGACCACATCTGCTATCAGGTTTCATGTTTTTTTAAAAAAAAATGGCAATGTGTTAGCCCCTCAGACATCTTATTAACCCCTTTTATCTATTCAATTGCACTGACACACATCTGGTAACAGTGGAAAATGGCCTGAAAATTATAATGTGCCATTTCGGGACTCATGTACCTTAGTCAGACTGTGTTTTCAAAATTAGCATCTCGGGGAAGTCTTTTTACCACTTTGCCTCTGAAAAAGGCATATGATTAAAATCAGATGCATGATGGGAATGGGCATATGCAATAAGCAAGGCTTTCCCAATGTCCCCCTTTCAGTCAAAATGTAGAACCCTCTGTGCATGCTTAGACACCAAATCTCCCCTTCAAAGCCCCAAGCAATAATTAGTGATCCAACCCTGTTCACACCCACAGTTTGGATATTTTAGGAAGGTTATTGAAGAGAGGGAGCGAGAAAGACCTTGAACTAAAATTACCAAAAACAGGAGCAGCAGAGCAGGTCATTTTCAATGGGCTGTGCTCTGATATTGTAGGATGGAACTTGCCGACATATCTGCTGATCCTATACTTGCAACTCATGCACTTTCTGACCCTCTCTAATGTTCCTTTCCCTTCTCTCACTGTATACATTGGCTATGATTCTGTGAGCTAACACTTCTCAATAGGGAGCAATGCCTTGTTATGTGAAAAACTGATGAGCATGGAAAAAACTCTCAGTTGTTTGTTAAGTTTTAAGCTTTGCTACCAATAACCCTATATTACAGGTGGTTAAGCCACGCACTGAGACGCCTTGATACCTATGATCTCGATTGGTATGGGAGAATTGTCTGTATTCTGTCAATCATATTTTAATAAAACACTGATTGGCCAGGCAGGCAATATAGGCGGGAAAGCCAGACAGGAAGTAGAGGTGGAGCAAAGAGACTGGGAGTATTCTGGAAAGCAGGAAGCTCCTTCCGCAGTTCTGCACAGACCACCGGAGAGGAAAGATGTGAGCTGCCACGCTGGAAAAGGTACTGAGCCTTGTGCTAACGTAGATAAGGATAATGGGGTAACATAAGTTATAAGAGCTAATAAGTAGCCTGACCTAAAGGGCCAATCAGCTTTAGAACTTATAGAGATCTCTGTGTGATTGATTTTCTCTGGGACTTGCCAGCTGTGGGATACCAGGCGGGAACAGATACCCCAACAAGCTGGCCTTCATCACTACACTTGATAGTCATAAGACTAAAGCAAGGGGATCATTAGATTGAGGCTAGCCTGGGCTACAATATTTTCTATCAAAATGAACTATCGAAAAAAAGTGGAAAAGAAAGACTCCAAAAAAAATAAAACAAGAAGACTATCTTTTTTTCTTATTTTTCCAAGAACTTTGGGTGCATCATTAATTTACCAATTTGTAAGGTATCATTTTTTTTATGTTAGCTACCAATACTATAAACCTAAAACTGTCTTCATTCTGTCTCATAGACTTGTTTACACCGTGATTTTTCATTAATTTGGGGGACTTAAAATTTTCCTTCTTGATTTATTTATTGATCTAATTACAATTTTGTAGAACGTTGCTCAGTTTCCATGAGTCTGTACTTTCTGTAGGAGTCTGTACTTTCTGTAGTTCTACTGCTAATAATAACCACCTTATTCCACTTGACAAATAGTCTACCATTTCTCTATATTTGTAGAGATCTCTTCTTGTCCGAATGTGGTTGAGTCTGGAGGAGGATCCCCGGGGTTCCTGAGAAGACTGTGTATTCTTCAGTGCTTGGCTGGACTGCTCCAGAACATGTCTCCTAGGTCCACTGACTTGTTAGTTTTTCATTCAGATGAATCAATCAATTGATAATTGTAGGTTACTGAAGTCATATATTATCTGTAATTTTAGATACAGTAGTGTGTCTTTTACAAAATTGGGTACCAGTGTTTGTTGTGCATGTTAATACTGCAATTTCCTCTTAGGAGTGTTCCTATGAGTATGAAATGACACTATGTATCTCTTTTGACTAGTTTTGGTTTGAAGTTGATTTTTATCAGATACACAATAGCTATACCGTCTTGGTTCATTTGCATGGAAGACCAGTTTAAATTCCTTTTACCCTAAGATGGCATCCATTATTGACAGTAAGGTAGGAATTAAGATTCCCCCCCACCCCACCGAGATATATTTTTTTATTGTAGCCTTAACTGTGCTGGAACTCACTATGTAGATGAGGCTGGCCTCAAACCCAAAGGTCTGCTTGTCTCTGCCTCCCAAGAGCCGGGATTAAAGATGTGTGCTACTACTGCCTGGCAGGAATTAAGACAATAACATTAAGGGTTATTAATAATCAGATATAATGGTGCATGACTTTAACCCTAGCAATTAGGAGGTAGAGGCAGGTAGATCGAGACCATACTGGTTAACATAGTGATTAGCAGAATGGTGAAAGCTACACGGTGAGACACTGTCCCCAAAAGAGATATTTCCAGACAAAAGCTCTCAAACCAGCTAAGCTGCCTGGAAGAGGTTCAGACCAGCACTGTTATGGGATCTGCTCAGATGCAACATAATTCAAACACCAAGTAAATGCAGAAAACTAGTATGTATTGTAATCAAGCTGGTGCTGATCCATCCGGGGTGCAGAACAGATTCGGGAGCAGAACTGTGACCCTGAAGCAGAATGTTACGGAGCTTTGAAAGCATAAAACACACAAACATCTGTGCCAAGTTACAGTTCCATTTTCCACCAATCAGTATTCAGGGAACAGGAGCTTTCCTGGGGATATTTCTTCTCATTGGTTGTCTTATTCCTGTGGCTGGGCAGTTTGCCCAGCATTCATGCCTCAACTTGCCAACCAGGATCTGGGTCACCCAGGAAGGTCTTGGAAAGTTAAACTTCATTTGACCTTTATTCAAAATGGAAGTTCTATTCAAACTGACTTTAGTTTGGTTCCTTCTTACAAGCAGAGCAGCCTGGAAAAAGCAGAGACCAGCCAACCTGCTGGGTAAAGGGTCACACCAGTTGATCTATCAGCAAAGAGCAGGGCCCAACCTGCTGAACTGCCCACAGGCTTGCAAGGCTCTCTGGCTGACCAGCATTCCTGAGCTGTCACCCATGCTACAGTTGGCTTTGGTGATACAGCTGTCTTTAATTCATTTCTGACCCTGTAAGTACATCCTCACTTATATTTCTGTAATTGCCCCAATGAAACTCACTGGTTCACCAAGCTGGACTTTGGTAGTAGCCATACTTTTGCCTATTGTTGGTTTCCTGTCTGGCTTGAAAAGATGATTGGTCACATCTCAAATAGAATGTCATCACAAAACAACTACATATAAAGTAACAGATTAATTCAAATTCAGTAATGCTCAGTGACTTCAATACCCAACTCACCAGTCAACTAATGAACTAGACAAGAAATAAACAGAAAAAATCTGTAATTAAATGACACAATGAAGTCAGCCGTGGTAGGGTATGCCTTTAATCCCAGCACTCAGAAGCCAGATGTGGGTAGATCTCCATGAATTTCGGATCACCCTGGCCTACATAGCAAGTTTGAGGCCAGCTGGAGCTACACAATTAAGACTGAGTCTCAAAAGGACAAGAAACAAACAAGCAAACAGAATAAATGACACCATAAAACAGATTGACCAGCTAAATACACAAAGGATATTCCACTCAAACACAAGAGAATACACACTTCTAAGCATCTAATAGAAAGTCTTTATATGAGGATACAAAGCAAGTTTCAACAAATAGAGAAAACCTAAAACGATGTCTTGTATTCTATCTCATCGCAATGCAATAGGACTGAAAGCACGTGTTGCGTTTGCAGAGGATCTTAGCTGGGTTCTCAGGACCAACATAGAGGATCAGAAACACCTATAATTCCATTTCCAGAGGGGTCTAATACTTTCGAAATTCTGACCTCTGTGCACCTGGCAAACATAATGCATATTCTTTCTTGATGGCAAAACACTCACTCATGTAAGTAAAGCAAACTACATGTAAAAAATGAATGAGAAAGTAGAATCAACAAAATTACAGGTTGGTATTTGAAAAGATAAACATGATTGACAGCCCATAGCCAAATTAAACAGGAGAGAAAAAAGCCTAATTAATAGAATTAGAGATGAAAAAGACATCACAATCGACAGCCCAAAATTTACGATAACATATTTGAACATTTTATACTCCAAGTCTGGGTATGGTGGCATCCACCTTTAATCCTAGCACTTGGGAGGCAGAGGCCTTGGACTAACCAAGGTCAGACTCTTGTACATAGCAAGTTCCAGGCCAGCAAAACCTACATAGGAAAACACTGTCTCAAAAAAAATTTTCAATAACCTTAGTAGAATGCATTCAGTGTTCGCCACAAGAGGGTTATGCTAAGCAATCAATGACACAGCTGCTGCTCAGGAAACTCAAAAGGGCTTAGAATCTGCCTGCCTCAATTTCAGGGAGAAAAAAGGTCTACTTTTAAAATTATGCAGCAGGGCTGAGAATGTGGCTCACTTGGTAGTGTTTGCTTAATATGCAGAGACATCCTCCTTCTGTTTCCTCCCCAGCATCACATTAAACCAAGTGTGGTGACTCATTCCTAGCAACCCCAAAACTTGGGAGATGAACCTAGGATCACACCTTCAAGGTCATCGACAGCTCCTATGGAGCTCCAGGACAGAAAAACCGAAAAATAAAAAATAAAATAAAAATAAACTCACAGTACAGGCCCCTTCTGTTTGGAAAAGCAGCCTCGAGCAAAACCAATACAACACCAAAGAGATTACATAAAACGATAAAGCAGGTCGGAAACCAGTGTGCCAGGGCAGACAGGCAGCAACGCTCACCACCCGCGCCCCTTCTCTGCACAGTCTGAACTCCGCGTCTCCAGCCGTGTAGGCTGCATCGCCTGCGGAAGCGGAGGTTCATCGCGAATTCCCCACGACAGGCTGGGGACTGGGATGAAGCAGTTTCACAGCAGCCACAGACAGGAGCGGACTCTCAACTGCCGGCACTGGCTCCGCCTGTGCCAGACTCCACCCCAGAGTCTGCAGCACAGCGCCAGGGATCGTCCAATCGGCGGCGCCAGGCTGCACCAACGACTCCAGGAGCCACCGCGCACTCACCATGTGACACTCACTGCGACCTCCGGACGCAGGCCGAGGTCGTCTAGGAGGGGCCTGCCGACAGAATAGGTGACACCGACGGAAGCCAGCTGTCACACACCTCACAAAAGCTACCCGGGATTCAAAAGTGGAGCCAGGGGCGGAAACCACGGGACATTCTTGTTCCTCATTCGTCATTTCCAGCAAGGAAGTAACAGCGTCCCTGATTGGCGAATGCTGCTGGTCCCGCCTTCTTATTCAAGAGTAGCAGGACCAACATCCTTTCCCATCACGGGGGGGGGGGGGGATTAAAAGAAAATCAACATCCGATTATAACCCAGGCTTTCCCCTTGCAATAAGCCTGAGGAATAATTGCACTTAAGGGGAACACTGTTTGAGATTTTAGCGCACAGACTCGCTTCCCCGTGTACTCAGTGGGATCCTACTTTTATTTCACATAAAATAGTGCACAGATTGGCTCCGAACAGTCTAGAATCAGTGCTCTTAAAGAAAACCCGGGACCATAGAAGGAAGGGTCCTGGGTCAGTGAAAGCAGAGTAAGAACGAGGGCCCAGTGTGCCAACTAAAGAATTTGTCACGAATGCACTTCTTGGCTGAGTAAAATAGAATTACCCGGATGAAATGGTCCACAAAGGATAGCCGGTGGGGCTCGGGAACAGATCTTGAACTGGAGACAGAGACCTTACTTTGCCCAGGTCAAGAAGATAACCCACAGTATCAAGTGTAAACATATTCTCAGACCTCAGGACCGCACACTCTGCTGTTCAGGAAGCCTCACAGAGGAACGTTTCCTAGTCATGAGAGAGAGATACCAAATAAATTAACCCCGGGAGCATCCTATGAAGCTTCTTCTACCGTGAAATCTCTCCTTCAGCACTTTAACATTCTTAAGATGGGCAAGGGCTTCCTCAATCATATTAACGTTTTAACCAACGTAAACTATCAAATTCGCAAATACTTCTCTAGGGCTCTATCTACTACAGCGAGTCATTAAACATGATTGGTTTGCATTGCGATGAGAATCTGGAAAAAATCTAAACAAAAGAACAACAAAAGCATAGTAGTGAAATAACACCAAAACCAATGGACATAATAGACATCTTCCGAACAATCCACTCAAACTGAAAAGAATATATATTCCTCTCAGTCGCCCATGGGATGTTTTTATAACATCAACCACATATTAAGACATAAGTCTCAACATATATAAAGAAATTGTAGTAACAATCAACATTCTATCTGACCACAAAGGGTTAAATCTGGATATCTTCAGAAATAGAAATAACAGAAAGTAAATAAACTCATTGAAATTAAGCAACACACTACTGAGTGATAATAACAAGAAATAAAAAACTGAAAAACTAAAGTTGCATGAAAATAAAAATACTATACATATAATATATACACATACATACATATATGTTAGCGCTAACAACTGAACTAAAAACCCATGGAACACAATGGACATAGTCCTAAGAAGAAAGTTTATAGAATTAAGTACCTACAACAAAACATTTGAGATATCTCAAATTAATAATTAATAGTGGACCTGAAGGCCTAAGAAAAACAAGCAAAAGTAACACCTGAAAGTGACAGGCTGGAAGGCAAGATCAAAATCAAGGCTGAAATTGATGACATAGGAGCCACAACAACTCCAAGAACAGCACAAAGAATCAATAAAATGATGATTTCTGTCTTTGAAATCATCAACAAGGCTGACAAATTGAACTGCTTAGGTTTTTTCATTTGTTTGTTTTTGCTTCTTTGTGTTTTTTCAAGACCAGGTCTCTCTGTATAGCACTAGTAGCTCTAAAACTCTCTCTGTAGAACAAGCTGGTCTCAAACAAACTGTGATCTGCCTCTGCTTCTCAAGTCCTGGGATTATTGGTTTGGGCCACGGCTGTCCAGCTGAACTGCTTAGGTTTTTTTTTTTCTTTTGTCTACTTTATACAATCTAGAGTCATCTGGGAAGGAGAAATCTCAATTGAGAAAATTCTTTCAAAAGATTTGTTTGTATGTACATATATGTGTCATATTTGTGATTAATGATTAATGTGGGAGTTCCCAGTCCATTGTAGCGAGTGCCATCTGTGTGTGTAGGTAGTCATGGGTGGTATAGTAAAGGTAAATAAGCATTAATATGACAGCAAGTCAGTAAGAAGCATTCAGTTTCAGCTTCCAGGTTTCACTTTGAGTTCTCACTTTTCTTTATGATGGACGATATAAGCTGTAAACTGAAATAAACCCTTTTCTCCCAAATATAAATATGAAAATGACAAATTTGGAACTCAAATCTTACATCAGAGATGAGGCTCATCAACATAATGAAAGATATAAAGAAAGAATCTCATCCATTGAAGACACAATAGAAGAAATGGATATGTAGGTCAAAGAAAACGTTAAATCTAAACTCTCTTGCCACAGAACATCCCTGGGACCATAAGGAAAACTAGGATAATAAGAAAAAATCAAGGTCAAAGTCACAGGAATAATTTTAATACACTCAATGAAGAAAAATTACTACCCTAAAGAACAGATGCATTTTATCTGAATATTGTGAATTAAAACTAGATATTGTCAAAAACAGAAACAAGAGAAAGCTTACAGTTTGGGTATACCTTATCTTCTATTCATTTTGAGTGAGATTTTCTTCTTCTTGTTTCAGACATGTTGCCAAGTTACTAGTATGAGCTCTCTAATATATTCATGTAGGCACTTTCTGTTATGAATGTACCTCAGTTTCAGTTGTCTATGGTATGTCCCCATAGCAGTTTTTTTTCCAGTGTTGGCTCAAGGCAAGTGTCAGACACCCTGAATTTGAGGCAATAGGCCCTTGGGAGACACGACTCTATTTCAAGAACAGCAAATACTCTTGACTACAAAGTAGTCTTTCTGAACTCTACACAAATTTTGCTATCAATTCTTTTCTTATTTTTGGCTATTCTGGCTTGTGAAAGATGAACAGTTAAAGAGATCTGAGCAATGAACTGTTGCCTCGTTCCTAATCCTTGCGTTTTCTTTTCAAGTCCTTCACCAATTCCTGTGCACAAATCCATTTGCAGCTGTCTCCTGCCTCAAAGTCCTGTTTTTCCTTTTATGGCACGAGTTTAGAATGTAGAGAGCGAAATGAAGGCAATGACACGCATAAGCAGGACACAGTTGTTCACTGACTGAATAAGAAATGGGAGTATGTAGTACTTTTTACCTATGGAGATCAGGTTCAAAAATGTTTCCTTCATCACATCTCTATAGAGCTTCTTTTGACTAGAATCCAACACAGCCCACTCTTCTGAGGTTAAGTTCAGTGCCATATCCTCAAAGTTTATTGGCTTCTAAGAGTATATATTAATTAGGATGTTTAAATTCACTGACAGACCGACAGGATACATAATCACATTGCATATATGTTTCTGAAGAAACTTCTAAATTATTATATAAATAGGATTTACTGGAGAATATCCATGGGATGCTATCTTGATTATTTGATGACCCACTGTCTCATTTACTATTTATTAGTGTGTCCTTTATTAGCAGCTTCACATGTCTGAATTTTATGAACTGGACTCTTCAATTGTGATATGAAATGAACTGCTTCTGCCTTAAGTCATTTTTCTCATAATAATCTGTGATAACCAGAGGAAAAGCCTGATATAAGGTTTAGGAAGATGGGAAATCCAAGGAGAGCTAGGGGAAGAAAGAAAGCAGAGTCAGGGAGATGCCATGAAGACGCTCAAGGAGAAAGACTCAAAATTTTTCTGGTAAGTCACAACCTTGTGGTGATACATAGATTGATAAAAATGGGTTAATTAAAGATGTAGAGTTAGCTGATAAGAATGCTAAGCTAATAGGCCAAAGAGTACAAAATTAATATTAATCCTCAGAGTGGTTACAACATATATCTTCATAAAGACTAAGAGAGCTTCAAAAAAGGGCTTCTAGACCCACAAAAACAGGAGTCAAATTGGAGCTTCCTGGTAGCCACATTTTTTTCAGAGAGCCTCTGTTTGCTGGTGGCTAAAGAGAACTGCTCTTTTAGGACACAGTGTCCTGCTGATCATGCTGGTGTCAGGAATGGCTCTGGCTCTTTCAGGAGGTCCTGGTGTGGAGCACTTACTGTCATTTCTGAGCAGCATCAGCAATTGTTTTTGCTGGAGCTGGGGTGGTAAACATGGTTTGCAGAGCTAGAGAAAAATATACATCTCCACTATATTGAAAGGCTGAGAGAGGCAGAGTCATCCTGACATCCAGGATCTCAGCAAGCATACTACTTACCATATAAAAAAATGAAACAAAATATTCCTTGTCAGAAAAGAATTTCAGATACACAATAGGACAGATTCAGATGCAAAAGACCTCTAAAAGAGACACAGTGTGTTTCAAAAATGTGCACAGGCTTCGGTGAAAGATGAAAAAAGAGTATAGACAGGTATAAAAAGAAGCAGTTAAAAAATAACTAAATAGCCATAGGTATACCCTGACTTCCTGATAAGTCAGTATACTTTTCTCTCCGGAGCTGTAACATTTGCAGTATAATCTGACTTTTAAACAGTCAGGGTACTTTTTTCTCCAGAGATGTAATACTTGCAGGTAACATGTAACTCTCTCTGAACAATGAACCTAGTAACTTATGGGTATCCTTCTGGGAACAATGAATGATCTTTAGGGGACTGTAACTATATCTTGTTCACAAATTGCAACAAGGGTCATCCAGATAGAAACTAAAGAGTGAAATAAATGAACAGATGTTATGACTCAAAAAGATGTGGCAGATATCTATAAAATATTACAAAAACACAGAATTTGCCTTCTTATCTTTCTTCTCCAAACAGGCTATGCAGCTGACTATGGAACCTTCTCCAAAACTGACTTCATGTACTTGGCCAAAAGCAAGTCTCAACAAATATTAAGAAATGAAATAACCCCTGTATCTTAAGGAACCACTAAGGATTAAATCTGGATTTCAACAACATCAGAAATCCTACGAACATATGGAAATTGAGCAGCTCTATACTGAGTTATCAATTGGGCAAGGAAGAAAAAACAAAAAAGAAAGGATTCCTAGAATTCAATGACCATAAATGGTCAACATACCTAAATAATGGGACACAATGAAAGCAGTACTAAGAAGAAAGTTCATAACACTAAGATCCTTATTCAGAAGTT